TCTCTTAATGTTACATCAAACTTCGTCTCACTATTAAAAGTTGAAATTTTATAGGTTAAATAAAATTCATTAAAGGTAATTTAACCTCTGGAGAAAGTAAAGAATCAAGCAGCACCACTTTAAGGAGCGCAGCGCAGTTCTTTCTCATTTGGTTAGAGAAACGAGCGCATTGACGACAGGACTCTGGCTTGTGAGATTCTCCAAGGCAAAACATGCAGAGGGTATGGCGGTCAGGAGGAGCAAGTTTGCTACCACAACATTTGCGCCTATTGAAAAATCTCCATTTCTTTTCCATAAGAAGAGAAGTGGAGGGAACAGTTGAGGGGGGTGGTGGCCCGAAGGCATGAGGTAAATTCAACGTCAGAAAAAAATAAAGGGGTTTTTTTAACAGTTTTTTTAAAAGAACTAATCACTAAAAAAGATAAGATAAAGAATGGAAATAATTCCTAAGAGCTGTGAGGGAAAAGCAAACAGCGAACTGATCAGACCGACGAAGAAAGAGGTCTTTCCAACGTGGTGGTAAGGAAGGAACTGGCGGGATGTCTGCACCCACCCCTCTGGGCATGCGTGGTAGGGTTCCTGTGCATGTCTGAGGGACTGGGTGTGAAAATTCGTTAAAAAAAACAGGTTGCTTACCAGTAACTGGTGATCTTCGAGTGGTCATCTGTGCATTCACACCAATGGGGATCTAGTGCGCCTGCGCTGGATCTGCCGGTGCCTAGCAAGCTCTTTTAAAACGATTTTCGTGCCTGGCCCAACTGAGCATGCCCAGGAGCCCCAGTGAGCATGCCCAGAAGGGCAGGCACGGACATCCCGCCAGTTCCTACCAACCGCCGCGCATCAATCTCCTAACAAAACAAGTAGAAGAAGACAGCAGCGGGGCAGGAGGGCGGGTGGTGTGAATGCACAGATGACCACTCGAAGATCACCAGTTACTGGTAAGCAACCTGTTTATCTTCTTCGTGGTCTCTGTGCTTCACACCAATGGGAGATTAGCGAGCAGTAGTTTACCTGGAGGCGGGTGCTGTCAGGTGTTTACTGCTTAGCCGATGATAAAACCTGACGTCCCAGACTGTCACTGGTGGACTGGCGGACGTCTAGGGCGTAGTGCCTGATGAAGGTAGTCGGCGTGGCCCAGGTTGCGGCTCTGCAAATGTCTTGCAGCTGTACTCCCTTCAGGAACGCAGTGGATGTAGCGACAGCCCTGGTTGAATGAGCCCGGACTGGGCCCGGCAAGGGCTGCTTCGCCAGTAGGTAACAAAGTTCTATGAGACCTACTATCCACTTGGACAGACGTTGGGCAGTGATAGGAGTGCCCACACGGGGTGCAGCATACGAGACAAACAGCTTAGGGGTTTGCCTCGTGGGGCGTGTCCTACTCAGGTAGAAGAGGAGGGCCCGCTTCACGTCAAGTGTGTGCATGAGTCTGTCTTCCGGTGATTTTGGGTCAGGGTAAAAATCAGGGAGGAAGACTTCGGACTGCAGATGGAATTCAGAGACCACCTTGGGCAAAAATGAAATGTCCGGCACCAGACGGACGCCATCCGGGAGGAAGGACAAGTATGGCGAATTCCAGGCCAGGAGCTTCAGCTGACAGGTGGCGAGGGGTTCGAAGGGCCGTCTGGTCAGCTGGCGCAAGACCAGGGGAAGGTCCCATAAAGGTGCTGGAGCTTTGACTGGAGGATACAAACGTAGGAGACCCTTCAGGAAACGTTTAGTAACAGGATGGGAAAACAAGGTGCAACCATCAACCTGAACATGAAA